AAATCGTTTATGTAATAACATTAAAATAAACAGGTAAGAGATATTTTTCAGATCTGATTAATTCTAATTCAGAGAAACTGTCAAGGCTGCAAGCATTTAGTTTTTAAAATGGAAGGGTGAAACCCTCAGCAGATATTCTGACTCTGATTGACTCTTGTCATTTTCCTCTCTCGTTTTGACTCCCACAATTAGCGTTTATTTGCAGTTTTGGGTTTCACCCTTAGGCTGCTCCAGCCAATAGCATAACAGCAACTACTGGGGAGGTGTGGATAAAGATAGCAAGGCCCCATCTGATTGGTCACATTTAGATAAACAACCAATGCATGAAATAAATGTCATTTATCACTGTTAGGTGTTTATGCTGATATAAAGAATGAGTCGTAACATACAGTGGTGGTGCTGGACGAAAAGAAGAGAAACCACAACAAAGTCTAAATGAAACAAAGATTAATGATTTAATAAACAATGAGACGGTGAATAAAGGAATATAGAATGTAAACAATTATTAATCAAATGAGTGTTGCCAAAACAAAGAAATACATATAACAAAACAATCTAACTAAACCCCAGCCCACTAAACTAACTAACCAAAGAAAAATGTACGTATATTGCATATACTATTATCATGATAACGATTTGGCGACGCAGTGGTGCAGTAGGTAGTGCTGTCACCTCAAAGCACGAAGGTCGCTGGTTCGAGCCTCGGCTGGGTCAGTTGGCGTTTCTGTGTGGAGTTTGCATGTTCTCGTGGGTTTCCCCTGGGGGCTCCGGTTTCCCCCACAGTCCAAAGACATGCGGTACAGGAGAATTGGGTAGGCTAAATTGTCCGTAGTGTATGAGTATGAATGAGTGTGTGTGGATGTTTTCCAGAGATGGGTTGCGGCTGGAAGGGCATCCTCTGCATAAAAACGTGCTGGATAAGTTCGCGGTTCATTCTGCTGTGGCGACCCCAGATTAATAAAGGGACTAGCCGAAAAGAAAATGAATGAATGAATGATAATGATTATATTGTGCAGCCATTGAACACAGACATTTTTCACATTTTCTTTTTGTATTAATAAGAATAAAACACAATGTCCAAGCCAAAAGTAATGCAATTACAAATGATTATGGGAACCTTTTAGTTTTTTGACAACCAGCCACACCAACCATAAAACTGGTAATCTCATGTATTTAATGTAAAAAAAGTCGCTAATATACTTTTGTTAAATACTTTTGTTTGATCATACTCAAGGCAAACAGTGGATTATTGACATGTTAATAATAATGTGAACAAGCAACTGTAATGTGTCATAGTAAAGATGCTAAAAGTTAGTCATTTAAAGAGCCCCTATTTTGCCTTAAAAAAAATTTCTATTTTGGTTTTAGGGGTCTCCAACAACATGTTGATATGGGTGCAAGGTCAAAACACACTTTAATTTTCTTATAACATGCTTTTGTTTTTACCTCATTATCTCAGCGACTCCAATATGATTCATTCAGTGATTCATTTGTTCCCAAACCCCTTCTTAGCGCGAAGCTAATCGGCAGTGATTGGTCAGATGACCCAGTCTGTTGCGATTGGTCAACTACATTCAGCACGAGAAATGCTCACCATGGCAACAGAATGAAGTTGCCCAAAGTATGTGAGAGCCAATGAAGTTAAACACCAGCATATTACTCTACTCTAACGCTAACCCCAAGTAATAACAACGACACACATTCAGTATTAATCCACACAGTGGCAAAAGTTGAACTATTTTGAAAATTGACAGCGCCGTGTGTGTGTAGGAACAGCTAACGGTGGCCATAGCAAAGGCAAACAGCAGAGGATTGCCAGTTCAGAAACGCATTTAAATCGATAAAGGAAGAAGCACGCATCACGTTTTCAACATGTTTTTGGACGCGATATGTGAACAGCCCCATACAGATTTAACCTGACAGAAACAATACAAGTATTGATCTATAATCGATATGTGATTACAAACCGTGCAGGGCGATTTCAACTTATAACACACAGTTAAACACACATTTTGCAAACTACACAAAACAAGGCAACAATTTTAATCAGACTTTCATCTTATAATCTGGAGGAAGAAGAAACTGGTCCATATGAACTGTAAAAGTTACTGACAAAGTCCTTGTCAAAGTCTGATAAAGTCCCATAGTCTCTGCTGGTCCTTTAATAGCAATCGGCCAATGAATTCCATGTTGCAGTGTAGGTTATTGTACCAAAAATATGAAAAATGACAGGAACAAACACAGCACTATGTTGGCTATACTGTGGTGTTGTTGTAAACGTATTTCCCCGCAGCAGAATCAAGTTATCTTTGAGTCATGATCAGTCCCGTGATCGCTTGTGACTCCGCTATTGTGTGGAGGGAAAGTGCACATTTTACCGGAACTGGAAGTACATATTTGGTAATGTACCGTATCGATGTCGATGCGATCAAATAAAAGATCCGAACCCAACTTGATTCGTTTATTCGACTTTGAGTCATTTTGCTAAAAAATAAATACTTTTAAACATGCTGCACTTTTAGATTTACACCTCAGCTGGATGTTGTCATTCACTTAGAGCTGTGTTACACACTGCACAGAAGGTCATTTTCAAAAACCCATAATAGGGGCTCTTTAATAATAAATACTCTACGAGAAAGCTTCATTCTTAGTTTATGTTAGTAAATAAAACTAACATTAAGTAATAGAACCTTATTGTAAAACGTGACCATTTTTCAATAGTGAATTAGGCAGTATGTGCTCTTAAATACACACAGGTTCCATGCTGATGTTGACATTGACCACCGACTGGAGCAGAAGGTTATATTCCGCACTCGTACTTTGACAACTCTGGCAGCCTGTCCACTGTACATCAGCGCCGCGTACCACCATCTCCCCTGCTTCCGGATGCTTCTGAAAGCAGGCGCCAATCCTGACTACAACTACAATGGGCCCGTGAACAGGGACGCGTTGGTCAAGGGCCGGGCCTCCTGTATGCTGGATGCGGTTCTCAGACTGGGATGTGATCCAGTATTTGTTAGCTTGCTGCTGGATCACGGTGCTGACCCACATGTAGTGCACTGGGACGAGCTCGACCCTGACACAATGATTCGGTTAAAGGTCAACGTCGAAGCCCTCTGTGTCTACCAGGAGGCCAGAAGTAAGTTGTCTTGGCATTGATGGGTCTTTCCTACAACCCCAAATCAGAAAAAGTTGGGACAGTATGAAAAATGCAAACAAAATTAGAAAGTAATGATTTCCAAATTGACTTTGACTTGTATTTCATTTGCAGACAATATGAACACACAATATTTCATGTTTTGTCTGGTCAACTTAAATATACAGTACACCCTTTTCTGTCGTTCAGGCCTGCAACACAAAAAAAGTTGGGACAGGAGCAATTTCGGCTAGTATATTGGTTAAATAATGATTTGATTTGAAACAAGTCCAAAAGCCAGGGCCTATCATGGTATGGGGTTGAGCAGTGCCAGTGGTGGAAAGAGTACTGAAAAATCATACTCAAGTAAAAGTACCACTACTTGCCTAAAAAATTAGTGCGAGTAAAAGTGTCTGTTGTAAATATTACTCAGAGTATGAATAAAAAGTAGGGCCAGACGGAATCTGCGGACGTTTTTGGCTATTTCTGCGGAGAATTTTGGTAAAAATCTGCAGATTTCTGTGGAATTACTTTGGGAGTATCCAGCGGAGTATCATAACTAAAACCTTAATATATGAAATAAAAAGTAATAAAGAACTGAATAAAAACTGAATAAATTCAGATTTACACATTTACTCAAGTAAATAAACAGAATTAATGATGGGCTAAAAATCTGCCGAAATTTGCGGAATTCTGCAGAAAATCTGCGGAATTCTGCGCGCGCAGATTCCGTGTGGGCCTGGTAAAAAGACCTTTCAAAAGTACTCGAGAGAAGTGAGTAGTGAGTATTACGCTGTATAAAGCTGATGCATTTACATGTAATTTGTGGATGTGTGTGTAAAGGTAACATTCTGTAGTGCATTGATTGCCCAGCAGGCATACAACATCATAAGACATTAATATTAGGTTTGGATTTAGATTGTGAAGTCAGATGACCAAAATTCAATGTCTAGCCAGCGTTTAAGGTCAACGTTATTTTGATGTCCAATAAAGACGTCAAATGAAGTTGATATTTGGTTGATCTTAGGTTGTTAGAAAGTGATCAAAATCCAACGTCGAGCCAACATCTTAAACCAACGACATATAGATGTCAAATACTGACATTTATTTATCAGGCATGTCAACCAAAATCCAACATCTGATAGACATCATAGTGGTAACATCCACACAACTTCAAGCTGTGACATCATTAGACGTTGATATTTGGTTGGTTTTAGGTTGGACATTGACGTTAGTCTGACGTTGAGTTTTGTCATCAATCTGGTTTTTATTTCCAAACAAAATGCAATGTCCCCATGACATTAGAGTACAATGCCAATCTGACATCATTTTGACGTCTTGTCCCTACTGGGTGTTTAAGGCCATTTCGGTCATCATAAAGTAAACATCCATCATCTTCTCCTCAGTGACGGGCATCTAAACAGTCTCTGGGTCAATGCGTGTAAAGATTTTGGTCATCATCTTGGACACTTTTAATGCTTCCAAATAGTTTGCTGCAATTATAAAGCGCACATGTCTTGAGGTAGTTCATTATGATGCAATTTTCCTTCTATGTGTGATTTGATAGGAATTACAGGACTGTTTTTTTCTAATCCCCATAGACAAGAAAAAAATAAAGTAGTGACTTGCAGGTTGAAGGAAAGTAGTGGAGTAAAAGTACAGATACTGCACTAAAAATGTACTCAAATGAGAGTAAAAGTACACATTTATAAAACTACTTACAAAATTACAATTCCTGAGAAAAACTACTCAATTACAGTAATTTGAGTATTTGTAATTAGTTACTTTACACCACTGGTCAGTGCCCTTTGCAAAGGTAACTTGCACTTCTGCAATGACACCATTAATGCGGAAAAGTACTCAGAGATTTTGGAGCACAATATGCATCCCTTGGTGTCTTCAGTCCCTAAATGTATTTTATGTGTTGTGAAAGGAAATGGCAACATTACTAAGTATTTTTTTTAAGTGTGTTGCTAAAACCAAAATTGGAATTTGTGCTTATTTAAAAAAAAAAAAAAAAGAAAACATAAAAAGTAATGAGGAACACATTAAATAATGTTTGTTATTCTGTCTGCAATGAAATACAAGTCAAAGTAAATTTGGAAATCACTATTATCTTTTTTTTATTTGTATTTTCCATACTTTTCCAACTTTTCCTGATTTGGGGTTGTAAAATGAAGTGTATTTTTGAAAAGAGATTATTTTTGTTTGCAAGATACCAAAAGAATAAAATTGAAATACAGTAATATAGTTGAAATAACAAAAATAATGAAAAAAAAAGTTTAAACTAACACAGTTTTAAATAATTCTGTTTGAGTGGATTTTGGTCATCTGCTTTGCACTTCTTATGTAGAAAACTGGCAATTTACTACAGAATATTCCAAATATATTATTGTATCATTATCTGATATTTATTATATTGAAGTGCATTAAAGTTGAAAATAATAAAGTTGAAACTAACACAGTTTTCAAAAACTCCACAACTTCAGTTTGAGAGGACTTTGGTCATCTGCTATGCACTTCTTAACTGGCCATTTATTACAGAATATTCCAGATATATTATTATTTCAATCTCTTATATTTCTTATATTGGAAAAAAAACTATTTTGCATGCAAAATACCAGAAGAATAAAGTTTTGTAGCAAATTAAATGCTTTAAAAAAAGTCACACTAACACAGTTTTTAAATATGGAAATTTCCATAATTTCACAACGTTCAGTTTGAGTGTATTTTGGTCATATTCTAGGCATTTCTTGTAAAGAAAATCTGGCGATTTATCAAAGAGTATAATTTAGATATTTATTTTTTCTTTCTGTAAAAAAGCTAATTAATACATATATTTTTTTATTTGTTTCATTAAAAAAGTTATCAAAATCCAGGACCATAAATGAGACTTCATGGTTTACACATGGTATGATAGGATTGTTTTGTACTTTTTTTTTTCATATTTCACATTAATTTTCATTTTTGTTTATTAATTTTTTGACACTTTGACAAATCTGAATTCTAAAACCCGTACATTATTTTTTTTAAAGCTAATGTACCATCCCATTCTTACAATATTACATATTTCTTTTCATATTTTATGCTTTTTTATATTAATTTCTAATCTTGGTAGTAAGTTTTATTTTATTTCTGACACTTTGACATATCTGAAACTTGTCTATGATTTTTTTACAAAGCTACTGTACCATCTCATTCTGACAATTATTATTATATTTATTATTATCTAAAAGTTTATTCAAAATCCCCAAATTGTTGGTTGTTTTATTTAAGGTAATGGTAATGTCTTACAGAAAGTATTTTCTCCATGACATTATAGTCAAATTTTCAAGCATTTTGATGTTTAATTTACTACTTTTGCCTTCTAATACAGGAAACCCTCAGCGACTGATGAACCTGTGCCGCATTACTATCCGGAAGATCTTTGGCAAGAAGCATATGTCGTGCATCTCTTCTCTTCCACTACCAGACACCATCATTACATTTATCCTTCACAATGACTGATGTAGCTCTGCTTCTGCCTGTCCGGATGGTCGATTAAATCAAGGTTGTTGTTGACACTCCACAACATTATTTCAATGGAAACCAACGGCATCTGTGATGGCAAGGTAACACATTTTTGATTTGATTTTGATCACATTTTGCTGATTTTGAAATGGAATAATTTGTGAACCAAATGCTTAAAGGGTTAGTTCACCCAAAAAGGAAAATTCTGTCATCATTTACATATATTCACCCAGGACCAGTTTGACTTTTTGTGTTCTGTAAAACACACAAAAAATATATATTGTAAAATGTAGGAAACCTGTACCCAATGACTTCCATATTATTGTTTTATTTTTCTATGGACATCAATGGTTACTGTTTTCCAAAATTCTTCAAAATGTCTTCATTTGTGTTCAACAGAACAAAAAAAAGGTTGTCTATTGAGAAACAACAACAATTACAAACCTAGCAACTTTGCATTGGTTAGCATTGCTAATTAACATGACCAGCTTAAAGGGTTAGTTCACCTAAAAGTGTAAATTCTGCTATAAATTTCTCACCCTTCGTTTATCTTCAGAACACAAATGAAGCTTTTTTTTAGATGACATTAGAGAGTCACAGAACACATCCAGAAAAAAACAAACTTGGTTTTATTACACCATAGGCAGATTATTTAACTTCTAAAAGGAAAAACTCACTTAGTTTTGACACATTATTTCTGAAAACAAGACAATATTCTTTACCTGTCTGGAAAATGCTTTAATAATTTGTCGATATTTGGGCTAGAAACAAGACAAAACCTAAAGTAAAGCAAAGCATTATTTGCAGTGTATGGGTCACCACACATCACTTCATTTCACTAAAGGCAGTATGACACATACTGTGGTAAACATTTGAAGTGGATTGAAGTGGAAGTTGTCTAAAAACATTGAACAACACCAATTTTTTTTGTCTTGATCCACTTCAAATATTGACTACTGCCTTTGTCATTAGATTCAAAGGCACAGCCCCCAACCATTGTATTGCCAGTAGTAAAAATGCATCATGATCTGATGCAGAGGACATTGGTGAGCACAGTTGTGTTTTACTGTTTTTTTTTGTTTTGTTTTTTTTTTTTTGGCACAAAAAAGTGTTCTGGAACCTTCTTATGATTACAGTTGATTAACTAAAGTCACATGGGATTTTTTTAAACAATCTTTTTGGTTCCTTTTATGAACTTTGAATGTTTCGGGACTGTTGCTGTCTATGGAGGAGCTCTCTGATTTAATCTAAAAGATCTTCATTTGTGTTTAGAGGATGAACGAAGGATGAATGAAGGTCTCAGGGGATTGGAATGACAATAGGTTGATTAATTATTAACAGAATAGTAATTTCTAATACTGTCCACTTTTATTCAATAATCCTGATTACACAAATGCCCATGTGAACGAATCAATTTCATCAACAACTTTTCACAAAGCATTGTTGAATATGTCTGCTACTTAATGACTTACCTTTTATGATTTAATGCTTGAATCAAAAACAATAATGAACACCACTGATGAAAGAAAAGCATGCTGATATTAGTCCTCATTTGTATTTATTTTATTGATCCAGCAAGTAATGAAAGTTGAATGTAAAAGAAAATGGTATTGGTACTATGTTGTTTTCACGTAAACTTTTTGTCCATATCCGCTTGTTAAGTGGTGACGTGTTGGTGACGTATGTAATACTGTTTCCGGGTCCAAGCCGCCACTCATTTGAGTTGAGAAATGATTTGTTTAGGATCACTTTTTATTCATATCACACATTAAAGTAAATTTTATATAAAGTCATAGTGTACACAACAATCTCTGGGCTTGCTGCATAAAAATACCAACATTTTAACAATTTATAAAAAACTGAATCACTTTCTGGCCATCGAATATTAGGCATGGACATATATATTGCGATCGTGATTTTTGAATATATTAAATCGCTTTGTAAACGCTTATAATTACCATTTCATGAGTCTCCCTATTCAATTGAATAGAGCGCTTGGACACGGAAGCCGCTTCGCGTGACGTCACACTTAACAAGCGGATACTGTTGAAAACTGCCTTAAAATTGTATGTATTTTTGCACTGACAGTAGTGAGAAGCATTGGATATTCTGCACTTTATTGAAGCTGCTTCTGCTTTCCTTGACTATTTAAATGTGTTGCTACTTGTATATGTATCCTTTGCTTTTTCCAGATAAACATATTTTACATGGACTCATTTCGATGATCTCGTTATTTATTTTCCTGTTTTAGATGTTGATTTCATCATTTGCTAATAGAGTAGAGAGCAATGCTAAAACAAAACATGCAGAAAACGTTAATGTCCAGTATGGTGGCTCAGTGGTTAGCAGTGTCGCCTCACAGCAAGAAGGTCGATGATTCGAGTCCCGACTGAGCCAGTTTCAGGCATTTCTGTGTGGAGTTTGTGTGTTCTCCTCGTGTTCGCGTGGGTTTCCTCCAAGTGCTCTGGTTTCCCCCACAGTCCAAAGACATGGGGCCCTATCATACACCCGGCGCAATGTGGCGCAAGGCGCGGCGCAATACTTGTTTGGTAGTTTCAGCTTGGCGCAAGAGTCGTTTTGAGGCGTTGCGCTACGCTGTTTAAATAGCAAATGCATTAGCACTCATATGTGTGCCCATAGGCGTTCTGGTCTAAAAAGGGAGGCGTTCTGAGGCGGACCGCTGGCGCGTTGCTATTTTGAGAAACTAAATAGGTTTTTCATTAGACCAAAACAAACCCGGTCTAAACTCTGGCGCAGAATTGCGCCTCGCTTACACACTGCTTAATACGCACAAGAGAACAATAGGCAAATATCTTTACATATGAAAAAATTTAAATATTAATGATATATATAGGATATAATAAGAATAGATAAAGGATATAAATATAAAGGATTGAAATATTACAAAACATATTATTTTCTAGCCTACATAAATATGAAAAACCACTGCTTTTATGTCTTCTTCATCTCGGGAGGCTTTTTCAGTTCATTCATAACAATTTGCTTTTGTAAAATGTTATTATTATTAGCAGTATTATTTATTATATCCATATTTATATTTGTTTTATTAAAAAACAAGCTTAGATTTGCCCACCTGTCAGGTTTTAGACCATATGGGGCACAGCATGTGTTTTAGGATATAACTCAGGTTTTTGAGCACACTTCGTTATTATTGTTCATTTATTAGTTTGCTGGAAATTAGAACTGAATTTAGAAATAGTTTTGAAACAAATATTTGCACTTAACAAATGCAATTAATTATTTATAGACTAATTGATGTCTGTGTGTAAAGGTTTCCCTATCCAAGAGCGAAAGTGAAAGTGATCCATTATCTCTCATTCTCACGCAGTAGATGCTCTGTTTAACTGTTTTCTGTTAAAAAAAAAACTGTTAACTGTTAACTATTTGCTAGTGAAATGCTCAGTTTTTCCACTTAGACTTACTTTGCGTCCTGTAAATAGTGAATGCGCTTATGGTGCGACGCAGCTGGCTCTTAAAGGGAATGGGAGATGAGACTCTAATTGGTTTTCTCAAAACACACCTATAACTCATTAAGAAAATTTAGACCATGCGCCTTGGCGCAAAGCGGATTTTCCCGTCTGTAAATGAGCAAAAATGCATTCTGACACGCTCTGAAAGCGTTTGCGCCCTGCGTTTTGCGCACTGCGCATGGACCGTCAAAATAGAGCCCATGCACTTTAGGTGAATTAGGTAAATTGGCCGTAGTGTGTAGATGTGTGAATTTAAGATTGTTTCCCTGTACTGGGTTGCGACTGGAAGGGTATCCCCTGCATAAAACATGTGCCAGAATAGTTGGTGGTTCATTTAGCTGTGGCGACCCCTGATAAAAAAGGGACTAAGCCGAAGAAAAATGAATGAATGATGTGATATTTGCAATTAATGATGTAATTTAATGCCTTTTCACCATAGTATTTTTCCCAATACTTTCAAACAACTCCACAATTTCCCTAGATGTTTGTGTTTAGCTCTCTGTATAATTCTTTATTTCTTCTTTACCCAAGGGGATCATTATTGTTCTTCACTTTCACCGTTCAAGTTATTGCTAAATCTCATGATTGAAAAGGATAATTGCCAGTCAGGACGGGAAGTGATTTATACTTCCTGTAAGGCCTATTCTGTCTTCGCAAGTTTCTCAAGGATCGTGTTTTGCTATCATATCTCACCATCATATAATGGCCCATGATGTGCACGGATCCCATTGAGGTTTTCAACCATATCGCAGATTTCCCATGCTTCATCCATCAGGATCGCTCTCTGGGTACAACAGTCTTTTTCCTGGTCTGACTGTAACTTCAGCATGCTGTGACATTAAAACCACATCTTGTCGAAAACCACTAAACTGTGGAAAAAGCAAAGCCTGGGAAAAGCCGGACTCTGCCAAAGAATCAGCAGTGGACTCGTAGAGAAGCGCAGTCCCTCGCTTTACATCTACCCAATGGGTGAAAGGTGGGTTCACACACTACTAAGTGCACTTTATTTTGCGAGCACCCTATAATAAGCTGCATACTTGCTGTTAGGCTGCCGTCAAACACATGATAAAAGCTCCCTGTGTTTAATGTCAACATGTCGGCAGCAGATTTTGATTCACTGTCATCTTTTTTTCCGCTAGTTTTCAACAGTGGATCTGGAAATAGGCCACCTAAAAAAGAAATTTGGATTTTGTCAGGTTCAGATGGGTGGGCCATAAATCCTTAAGTGTTTGATTGGTCAGCCCTGGTGTCGTTATAATCAAATCAGAAAAAGTTGGGATCATATGGAAAACGCAAATAAAAAAGAAAGTATTGATTTTCTAAATTGAATTTGACTTGTATATCATTGCAGACAATGCAACAAACATTATTTAATGTGCTCCTATATATATATAGGAGCACATTAAATATATAGTTTTATAGAGCACATTAAATATATAGACTAGTTATATATATATATATATATATATATATATATATATATATATATATATATATATATATATATATATATATATATATATATAGTTAAGTCAGAATTATTAGCCCCCCTTTGATTTTTTTTTCTTTTTTAAATATTTCCCAAGTGATGTTTAACAGAGCAAGGACATTTTCAAAGTATGTCTGATAATATTTTTTCTTCTGGAGAAAGTCTTATTTGTTTTATTTTGGCTAGAATAAAAGCAGTTTTTTTAAAAACAA